GACTTTCCTTTTGTCTATCATAGATCAAAGCAACATTCTAATTTTCTTCTGTTGCTTCCATAGATGATTCACATTTTTTTTAAGGAGCCTGCAGAATTGCTGAATCTCTGCCTTACAGCTGGGCATTACCCACAAGTTGTCTGTTGGCTCAAACCCTACCTTTGAATTGGTTACATAGCTCCTGCTGATCCAATGATCTTGCAGCAGAGTATCTTTAAACTACTAAATATTTGCTTTTGATCTAGCAGTTAAATCAGCATTATATCAAACAGTTGAAATCTTTCCCAAACTGATTTTATCACTAGTCCGACCACAAAGGGGCACTGATAAGCTTGAACTGACTTTTATTTTGTATGGAAGTATGTGCCAGCCTGTTCCCTAACTTCTCTCCAGGGCCTAAATACCCTGTTCTGGGCAGCCGTGAAACATGTAACTCCAGGTGAGACATAAATCTTTGAATCTTGCATGACAGTTAAAGTTGGCCTGCATATTTTATCACTCTTGTTTATTTATAAAATAAATTATATCAAGTAGACAGAAAGCATTCCGTCCTTCTCTAATAACAGTAGCTGAGCTGGATATACACGAAGTTGCACAGAGTTCAAGGGTGTAAAACTCAAGAGAGGGACCTTGTATAATATTTTCAGTATATAGGCAAATACGGAATAGAAGAGGAGTAAACATTTAAAAGATATATATACACATTCAAAATAAATAAGATCAAGTTCCTTTCATTATCAGCATTTGGGTTTGCTTCTGTTTAATTTAACAGAAACATATCACTCTGTTCTAAAAGAAAATTCCCAATTTTCTATTTTTAAAAGGAATGCATTCAGATACCCTTTTTATCAGAAAGAAAATTAACCTCAACTGGTACATAATGCCCTAAACAAAAAATTGACTTGGTCTTCCTTAATGACCAAGAGCAACCACATGGTAACAATGTGCAGTATTGTTTATGCCTCACATAAATAAGATATTATTTGTGAATAATTTCAAAAATAAAATTGGAAGACAAAATACTCATCTCCAACACCACAGAATAATCTGTTGTGATAATGCATGAAAGCAAAACATCAGATACCAGACATCTCAAACAGATAGCAGAATTTAAATATGAAAAGTATTTTGAAGTATAGTGAGACACTGTTGAGAAATCTCCATTTGAAGACATTTCTGCATTTTAAGGTCCTTTTGACACTTTAATCCATTTCATACCTAAAGTATTTCCATTCAATTCCTGCTTCTACTACGCTTTAAACCAAATTCAAGAGATATGAAATGTAGGTGCTAATATACCAGGATTTCATCCTTTTAAAGAAGAAGTGGTTTCCTCTAGGTGAAGCTACTACCTGAGAGAGTTCAACGAGGAACTCACACAAGCTTCTTGCCACTAATTCCTTCCACAATAAAGTCACTTTATGAATTCTGCATTATGGATTGCAAATGCTGAGGTAAAGCTACAAATGCAACTGTATTATTTATAACCACAGACAGCTGTAACAGAGACCATGAGAAATAAACCAGACACACTAAGCAATGCTTAATATTTAATCTCTAAATTTATATTGAGTCGAGTCATTAGACCTACTCACATATATGAAACACTTGCAATGCCTGTTGATCAATGCTTAATAGGATTACTTTAATGCAAAGACTCACTAAAATGATTAAACTAAGTTTTATTTGATGTCTGGTGCTTTCTGGGATTCTCTAATTAAATACTTGTTGCACATTGGCACAAACCTACTGATTTAATAGTGATTATATTAGTTTATGTTAACTTAGTATGCTCCACATTGTCACTTATGCATGCTAACAGTTGTATGACATGATATTCCAACGTGATTCTGCTATAAAACCTTCGACTTTGAGAAAAAATTTGTTATAAAATGTTGAGGGTGCATGAAAGGCTAAGGCATAAATAAAGATGGTCATTCACTACTGAATCAAATAGTTTGTTTTATATTCAAATCATGCTTTTGTGATACTGCAAAAAGCAAAATTATAGATACCTGTAATTAAGTTTGGTGGTCTGTAATTTTTTTCCCCTCAGGAGACCAGAAGTAGGTATGTTAGAAAGGTATTATGATAAAATTCATCATAATGAAACAATGCACAGCCAAGAACCAAACTATAGAAACTCATGAGTGATGAGAGAGTAAAAATAAAATAATCAGAACTGGTTGAGAGATGCAACGCTTCCACTTGTAGAATGTCACTTCAAATCCAGGTCTAATGGCCATAGAAATGCCATCATCTGGAGCTGGTTGGAAACTTTCACTTTAGGGGGAATAATTTCCTTTTTATTTTTTTAATAAATTAGTTTCCTATGGAACTGAATAGGTACTCTTCTCTTGAAACAAAATCTATGGTCTTTGTTTAGGAAGCATTGAAATGAAATCTGTTTTCAGAATTCCTCAAATCTTATTAGCAAAATTAATAAATTTTTGGTCAACTTGGCCATTTCCACTCAGCATACAAAGAAGTTGACAAGAATTGAATTGTTTTCAGATATAACTGCTCATTATGCCCCTGCCATTATGACCAAAGAATACCAGGCATTTAGAAATTTTGATTTGCTGCTGCCAGGCCAGACTTAGTGCTGGAGACTGAAGGCTCTCGAGGTCTACTACAGAGTCAACCCTTTGCAAAACCCAAAGCTTTCAAGGTCTGGAAATCCTAGAGTCTGTAGTGCTTTTCAGATCCTGCATCAAGGAGACAGGATTGTGGAGAGCTTTGAAGTTAAGGCCTGCCTCTCCCATAGCACTTTGGTCTCTGGTAACCACCCTTTGTGCCAATCTTCTGAAAACACAGACTACCAGGGAATGCTGCACAGTCGAGGTTTTAGGCTGTGTAAAACCTTCCAAGAAATTTGACAGTGTTTCATTGGAACTTTCCACTTTTGCAAAATATATAGGTTTTGACCAAAAAAAGCACTTTCAGTGATTTTTATAAAAGATGCTTGGGTGAAAAGTCAGCTCTACTCACATGGTAGGTCTCATGATCATTCTTTCCTCCCTTGCCTTGTCTTTACTACAGCTGTCAAAATGCTTGGTTTGCAAAACAGCTTCTCATAAACTCTTTAGTGTTTCACAAATCTTTGAACGGCGGTGATGATAGTGCACACACTTTGGAAACCTTGGTTTTGGTTTCTGAAATGAGTGTCACTTATAAGAAAGGATCTATAATTAGATGCTGGGTCCATACTACACAAGTCAAATATTTGTTAGCACTGCACTTGAAGGGAGGAATGTTGCCAGCATATACTGCCAGACAGATAAACTACATTTGAGCACCGCTTTGAGCAGAAAAAAAGATATCCTGCCTGAAAGAAGAGGTTAATCTTTCCTCTGTCAGAAATATAAAACATACCTGAGAACCAATGATAAGCTGAATAAGGTGGCAATCATTCAATTAAGAAATTACAGACTTGCAGGAATTACATTACTAAGTCTCTCAGTACTCCATTAGTTTCTTTCAATTAAAAAAAAAGGGAGATGTGGAAATGACAACACACAGAACTAAAAGTGCCTACTTCTGATATCAAGTTATGCGCATTTTCCATTCCTTTTCTCTTTGGTAGCTATAAATTTTGTTTATCTTTTTAAAAGATGCTGTATTATCTAACATAACCAGAAAAAGGCTTTTGTTAAAAACACTGCTATCGGTGTATTCTCTTAAGGAAAGTAGCTGCTGTGAGAGTACTTGTTAGATGAAAGGTTTAAGCAATTTAGGTTGAAAATAGAAACATATATACAAAAAGAATCCCCCAAAGATATGCAACAGGCAGGGTTTTTTAAACAATTATCTCTTTTCTGTCACATTAGTTAACATTTATCTGCAATTACTAAAACCCAAGTCAATATAATTAAGTTTTTAGCCATCTTTTTGTCTATTTACATCTGTTTCGATTTCCAGCCTACCTAGTCAGATCTACCTGGCATTTGAGAACTGTTTTATTTCCTATCATAAGCTTTGTTTTTCAAATCAACTGCAATTCTTTCTTCAGAAGTTGTTTATCATCAGGGACTTAGTAGATAATTTTTCTGGATGGGAAATGTGAAGGAATTCCATGTGCTATCATTTCTCTGAACTGCTGCTACCCGTGCAAGGCTGACAAAACCAAGATGTCTTTTGCCATAGAAACACTACTGTGCATGCATATGCTGGTCATAAGTAATAGTTTCTACATGTTTTTCAGGGGCTCTCACACAGAAATTTATTTTAAATCAAAACTTGCCCAGTTCTGGATTGACTCAAACTTCAAAGATGCAACAAAACTCCAATATGAGAGCATTTTAAAATAAAAATTAGAAGAGAAATGATCCTTTCCAAAGAAAACAGAACCCACATATGTTTAACAAACCCTTTACCTTCCTTGTATTGACAGCCTGTGTAGCATTATGTTGATTTATCCCAGAAAACAGATGAGTGCAGATAACATACATCTGACATTCAGGATGCAAGGTCACCCTTTATTTTAGATTCCATTAACTAATTTTAATGTATGAGTGATTAATTTGCCCAGGAGTGTAACGGTTACAACAGGTGCAGCTGAATTGACTGTGTTACTTCATAATTGCAGTCTCCACATTGGTATAAGCATCATTCTCAAATAGAAGTTACTGGCTCAATGTAAAAATTACTGGGTGAACTCGCCTTTGTTATCCAGGAGCAAAATGTGAAAAGATTTCTTTCAGACTTAAAAATAGGCAGATGAACCAATAACAAAAAGCTGAAGATAAAAATTATAGAACAAAAAACTATTATTTCTGCATTTATATTGTATGTGTGATGAAAGAGAGTCTTTAGTCAAATCCTCTGCTGCTGCAAATTAACTAACTTAAATGTAAGAATAAAATCACTGAGACTCATTAACAACAGCAAAAACAAAGCCATTTTTGACAGGCAGATATTTCTTTAATTGTGCTGGTAACTTTACACGGCCATTCTGGACATCTGACACTTGAGAATAATTAAATTCAAAAGCACCATACCTTCCGAAGAGGTTTGAGCTTGGTCTCCATTATGAAGTCATACTTGCAGAGTTCACAACAACGCGTGTCCGAGCTCTTAATCCACTGGTGCAGGCAGGCCTGATGAACAAAGCGCAGGGTCCCTGTGCAGCGACATGGTGTGATGAGGGGACTTTCATCATCGCCCTCACAGTGACAGATCCTGACAGGAAGGACAGCAAGAGTGAGTGAGGGAACTCGCCAACCAGCAATGCAAAGGCCTTGGTTTATTTACACTGCTTTCTCATCTTCAGACTTGACATTCAAAAGATGCCAGGTGTATGACCTTTCAGATTGAGGCCCAGGAACATATTCCTTGTTCCTTTCTGCCATTTCGTAATTTCTCTTCACTTAGTTATTTCTCTTTGAATTTGCTATGTGGTCTGAAGGTGAATCAATAGAAATAACACTGTTTTTCCCTTTTACGCATGGCAAAACCTTTGAGACAAATACCAGAGCTCTTTCTAAGAGGAGAATAGTTCTTGGTCTGTAAAGCAATGCCAATCAAATCCTCAAAGGTAGACAAATCTAATCCAAGCTGAAAATATCAAGCATGATAAATACAAGAAGTTCCTAGGAGACCTCTTTGGAGTTACACAGTTAAAAGAATCAGAGAGCAGTTTTAAGTACTCTGGAGTCATGCATATGACACAGTGTATACACACATGCACACACTTTTTAGGAGGCAGGTGTTAAAAAGTCACGGTTGTTTTTTTCATTCTTCACTGTCCCTTTGAAGCACACAGCTGTACTATCTGGAAAACAAAAACTACAGCTGCCAGCAGACCCTAAGATAGAGGTTGGTCCCAGAACAGTTTTACCTTATGATGGGATACAGAGCTTTTCATGTTGTGGTTTTCATGTTGCATAAAGTAATGAGTGTTCTAATATCATAATCTGATGTTTTTCTTCTCTGACACCTGTCCAAATCTCCTGCTGATCTTATTCTCTTTCCAAACAGTCTCCTGATCATATCAGGAAAATATTCACCCACTGAAACCAATGGGAGCTTTACAGGTAAGCATCTCTGTGAAGGCAGAGAAAGCTCTATGGTGAGCAGGCGGCTTAACCAAACACCTGAAATTAAGGAGGTTCACTTCAACAAAGAGTAACTCCCTCCCATCCCCAACCCAGAAAAACACACCAAAGCACCAAAGCACCCAAGCCCTAATCAGTGCCTGAAGTGTTAAAGTAGCATGCAAGAGAAAAAAAAAAAAAAGCTGAAGCCTGAGTTCTTTCAAAATAGAGAAGTAGCAGTAACAGCACAGATCCTGGTATCACACAAATGAAACTTAGACCTTAGACACTTAGGAACGGTTCCCTCAGACAAGACACAGGCAGAAGTGCCTGAACATGTCTGAGGAATAACTCACCCTTTTACAGAGAAAACTGTGACTGCACCACTCCTAGGGTAAGAAAAGGGGAAGGAGAGCCCTGCAATGAGATTGTCTTCCTACTGGTCAGGTTAGGGGAGACAGGTGACCTTCTTCCTAGCACAGGAGCTCCTGGTGTATGTCAGGAGGCAGCTCGCCAAAGACCTCCTGGAAAGCTCTGAGGCTGCCAAGTCTACAAGCAGGGGAGGAGGAAATTCCAGTGTCTACATGAAAGATCTATGAATCAAAACTGAGATCTTCACTATTCTTCCATGGTGTAGCTCCGAGCCATGAGAAAATGAATCTATGATAACATGAAAGCAGAACAAAGCTGCTTTGCTGGATATGTAAAGAGAACAAAAAAATCCAACAAATAAATGAAGCTTTGGAAACCTGGTCCACTAAAGCCAGGTTTCAGTGTCTGCAATGGTGCTTGTAGAGGATTTCATACCCCATGGCAATGGAGGGGAGAAGGAAAATACCCACAATTTTCTTCTTACACACGCTCATTCTTTGAGACAAATTTTACAAGAACTCAATTTGCAGACTTGTCTTTACTAATCCAGCCGAGCTACATGCATCAGTAGCTTAGTTCTCCTATATGGAGATTTCTTATTGAGCCTCTAGCTTAAGCAGAACTGAATTTTCAGAACACCGAATAGTTATTTTTCTAACAAATGCATTCCCAGCTGAGAGTTACACAGAAAACATTACTTTCTTTTTAAATTAAAGCTATTCCCCAAAGGAAAACCAGTATTCTTTGTTCATTTAAATTCAAGCTATACATAATTTATTTTACAGCCTTAGCATTTAAACTATTTAGAAATTAGACAACTAAGCTATGTACCCAAAAGCCTTTATTTCTACTACTGCCAAGATTGTTTAAAACTATTTTCAGAGCTAAAAATACAAGCCTAAAACTCCACTGGGATCTTCAATAAAGTGACACCGCAAATTTGAAACTAACAGAAGTAATCTTTAGTCCAAATACTTCCACAGAAAAACACTATATGCATTATGCATTCCATTTATGCTTTCCTTGGACAGAAGTTAAAAGCCAAATGTATAAATAACAGGGTGACACTAAGAACTTAGATTATACAGAAGCTTAGACTAAATAATCTAATGGCCTCTTCTAGCTTTTTAACCATGAAATATGTAACTGGAATTAAAACAAACTTCAACAGGAATTAAAGTCCAGAGAAAATGACCAAAGGCATGGCTTTCATTACCTTGAATGCTCTTTGGTCTCTTTGGTGCAATTTAGCTCTTTATTATTTGTTTAACGAGAAGAAATTAGCTTAAAAGAAATTTGTGCTACCTAAACTCAGAATGACAGTCTAAAAATATATGGGTTTCTGACAGCTATGGTAATAGAGTCTTGGCTAAATGTTTAAACATCTTCTAAAGCCTTGGACCAGATAACTTGCACTTTCTGCCTCAGCCATTAGTACCACATCACAATTTTGTGTGTCTTTGCCCTTTGCTGTATTCATCTATAATATACATCACAAATTATAGAAAATAAATTGTAAATAATGGTTTTGAGAAATTTGTTGTGCAAACAGAACGGAGGTAGAGAGACAAGGCACAGACTTACCTGAATCATATCTAAACCAAGTAGGAGGCAGAGAACTTCCATTCTGGTTTCCAATTGTCAAATGATCATAACTGTTTGAAACTTTCATGCATCAGATTGACTATTTACAGGGCTGAACTTATTCTGACAGTAAAATTTGCTTGCATACTTTAGAAAATAGTTGAATGGAAAAAACATAAAACACTCTCTACAATAAAGAAAAAAATATATAATTTGCTAAACCTATACTGATTTATTTACAAGTTCTAGTACAGCACTGATCATGCTTAAAGCTGCAGTTTCAGTTGCTCAGACACACCTACAGACTGTACATACTCAGCTTGTCTCAACTTTCTAGTCCTTTAGTAGATAAATGGCCTTCATTATAAACCAGTACTTTTGACCAACTGGAAATGGAGGGGAAGGAAATCAGCTATTTGACCTTTCAGTTTAAAGTCCTTTATATTCACAAATTGAGCCTCAGCCTGCATAAATTTTTTCTTTTTTTTTTTTAGGTTTGACAGCTTAATGCTTTAAAGATTCCTCTCTATGAACATCCTTGCTTTTCCAGAGGAAAAGATGAGCACAGGTCTCCAAAGGAGCTTTTGCTCTATAAATCATGTGTACACCAGACAACACAGGATATATGATCCATTAGCTGATCTTCCAACTCAGATAAACAAAATTTTATGTGTGTATGTGTATAATATACACCTACAGACATATCTCTATACACTGAGATCACAGAATATCTATATTTCTTTAATTAAAGCTTACTGTGAATTTTTATGAAATAATACTCTAACAGTGCTGACATCCTTATGTTTAAGTTTTTGCTTTATATGCCAGTATTTTAATTACCCAGCACAGCTTTTCTAGCAGAGAATTGTTTCTACAACCTTCAGCACACAGATGTACCAAACAGAGAAATTAGTGCCAACAGCGTGCATATATCAGACGAAAAAAACCCCACAAAAATTCTTTAAAGGATGTTCTTAAGCAGTAGGTTCACATACATTGCAACAAATTAAGAAAAATATTTTTCAGGAAAAAAAAATAAAAATTGCTAAAACCAAAACCACATTTCAGTGTTTTATGAATTTATGAATTTATATAATTCATATAAAAACTGTTGCAGAGCTCTTGTATGTTCCCTACAAAACAATCCCTCCCAACCAAAACAACACCTCAAACAGAAACAGAATAGTTCAAATACTTCAACTTAGAAAACTTTTAGAGAACAATGTATGTAAAAACAGAAAGTTGAAGAAGTTTACTGTGAACATTTTAGAATAATTTTTCAGTAGTTATTTTTGTTCAAAATATAACTGAATTTAAAGCGCATTCAAATGATGCTGAAAAACTTACTGTAAATGCAATGCTTGATTGAGAAACTGTGTATGACATATTAAACTTTGTAGCCTAATGACCATGCAAATTAGTAAGTAAAGTTGCCAGTAGTTTAAGGCATAGCATCTCTTTCACTAAATGGCATATTGCCACCACACATATATAAACAAAAGGAATTTCTTGTCTCATTAAAACAATGAGATGCAGATAAACAAAGCCCTCAGAAGTGAGGCATCCTCAGAATGTGGTATTGTCATACTGTCTTTAATTCCATGACTATGAACTGTCTTCCCATGTTTCCCATGGCCCTGTTCATTGTAAAAGATAGAAGGCAGAAAGGTAAGTATGAAACAAGTCTGAAGTTGTAGGCGTTCATATGCTCATTGGATTTCAGCCTATTTTCAGAAAACCAGCAAGAGCTATCTTGAATGACTGTCCTTCACTTCTCATCAAATTAAGTTGGTTTTTTTTTCCATATAAACATTTCTTACATAATCTCAGTTTAAAATCTTAAATAAAATCAGTATGAAACAAGGAGTTCACATGGTAAACTTTCAGGTTTTCCTAACAGTGATTTATTCTGGCAAAATCATAGTAACCAAAATTGAAGTCTAGATCATTATCATCTAAGCTGCTTATTCCCAGAGATACAGGTAGATTTGAACAGGTTTTTCTTCACATGCAGTTAACAGTTTTACTCTCATTAAAGGGAATAGCTGCTAATCTCTAACCCTACTGGAAAAATAGCAGTTTCCCTAACTTGTCTTTCACTAGTCCACCTGACTCTTCAGTAACTAAGAAAACAGACTGATCTCGCTGCCTCTGTAGTGAAGTAGAAAACACACTTATTCTGCAGGAGTC